GAGTGGGGGTGGAAGCCGAAGCGCTGAAGTGGGGTTGAGGGTCTCTAGTGTGGGCGCGTGTGTTGGGGGAGACAGGGGTGGGAAGGTGGAGGTGAAGGAGGGGACTTGGCATATACTTTAAAGGTGAAGCTGAAGTTAAGTCTTTTTTTATTATTCTTTTTCATGGATAATCTGATAAATAGATAAATATATTTATTCTGTAATATTTTAAAGCAAAGAAAATAATAAATTTTATAAATGTATGTAGAACTGATTTCTGATGAGACACAACAAAAATTAACCATCTAAAAATAAGTTAAAACTATAGATTAGACCCTTATTCTTTTCAAATTAATAATAATTAATAATCTGCAGTTTGACAGTTGCACTTGGTAAGACTTACTGAAGTACAAAAAAGCTTCAGATTAACAAGATTAATAATCCAACATATTCTGATCTTGTTTAGTACATTGGTCTAAAAACAAGATCAAAAATACTTTTTAACTGATATAAAATGATAAAACTTTGTTAGAGGAACATTTTTCTGCAGTAAAATGACTACTGCTCAGAAACATTAACAGATTAAATAAGCTTCACTTTAAACCTGGTGTATGTATGTATATCTTTATATATGTATGGGTATGTGTATATTTTTTTACATGCCCTCCATGTATTTATCCATTTATTTTTCAGGTGAGCGGACAGATGTTGGGTGTGTGGTCCTGTGTTTTGTTGGTCCATCCATCCATCCATCCATCCATCCATCCAAATCGCTATTTCAATCTTTCTATCTTTCTAATTACTTCTCTCTCTGTTTTTCTCTCTGTCTCTATTTTCTCTTCACTTAAAAAAGTCACTGATGATGAAGAAATAAATAAACTAAATAAACTAATATTTGGTTTCATTTTCTACTGAAGTGACAAAAAAAAAAACCTGGTTGGGACCAGGTTAGGTTCAGAGCACTTGTTACCATGGAAACATAAGTTCTTCTTAGTTCATGCAACCGATTCAAGACTTAAATAACTCATGTTTACACCAAAATCCCGGGTTAATCCCTTATCCTAGTTTCGTGCAATAGGCCTCAGGTGTTGTGTTGGGAAGAAGACAGGATGAAATTGTGCAGGTGTTAGGGGTTAGAAAGCAGCAGCAGCCAATCAGACAGACACCTGAGGGTGTCTAGACTTCTGCCTCTTGAGCTGTGCTCGGCGAAGCGTGAGAAGCAGCGGACTGCAGAGCGAGGAAGAGCGAGCTGTAATCTCACCCTCCTGCTGGGCTCTGAGGGGACCCGGGGACCCTGCCAGGGGGCCGCTGCGGAGCCCTGCAGAGCTGTGAGGCTGTGCTGGGAGTTACTGGCTGAGCTGCTGAGGCTTTCACACAGCATCATACTCTCATCCTCTGAGTCAGCTGGATGCTTCTGAGCCCTCATCAGGTTTGTGCTGCCGGCCCGGCTTACCTCACAATAATCCTGGAGACCACAACACATATATAGACCATCTCTTGGTTAGTGAATACGTATTTTATGGTTCAAGCTTTATCTACTGAAGAAAACATTTGAATTAAACAATTTGCTTTGAATTTATTCTACAGCTTGGCCTTTATGCTGTTGGATATTATTTCAGTAAAAACTAAAGACCCACCAGTCTTCCTTTCAGGATGCTTGGAGGTATTCTCTGAGAGTCTGAGGAGAGGACGGAGAAAAACAAAATTATTCACATATAAAAATGAAACATCTCATCAGCAGCTGTTTGATCTGGGTTTGACTGTAAACAAAACAACCTGCAGCACTTCTGTTCTTCCACACAGAGGCTTTGATCAGGTTTCAGAATCCAACAAGACTAAAACTCCCGTGTGGCTCATCCATACAAAGCCCTGAACACAGTCAGACACTTCCTGTTGGATGTTGTTTACCAACAGCCCCAGCCCGGCTGGCTGTAGAAGCAGACAGAGTTCAGCCTGTTTGACTTTAAAGTGCCTGTGACACTAAATTTAAGTGATATATTTGAGTGCGTATTTGGAAAGATAACATTAGTGATGAATTGCAAACAAAAATTCACGACACTGAAATGAACAGATGTGATATTTGCATGAGCAGAAACAGGAAGTGATGTCAAAGGGGAATGCCTGAATGGAGTCGTTACAACGGCTAACAACAGACTGCAGAGAATCAGATAAGGGCTGCAACAACGAATCGATAAAATAGATAAAAATCGATTTATTAAAAGCGTTTTGCAACGAATTTCATGATTGATTCGTTGTGTCACAGGATTTATGCGTCCCTCGCCGTGTCGCGGAGCCAATTACGTCACTAGCAGAGCGTTGTCAATGCTGGCTGACCTAAATAAAGTTTAGGAAGAAAGAAAAACTCTACCTGTAAAGATCCACCCTCTCTGACTCTCAAGTGAAAAGCAGAGACTATGAACTTTAAACCAGTTTTTAAATCATGTTGTTAGGCCAAGTAGATCCAAAGATATGATAAAAAGTAAATGACACAGTTTAATTTTTTTAAAAGACGGTCTATTTGATGCGCGCCGCGTCGCGAGGAGGAAATGCGTGCGGGGGAGGGGGGAGACCTTAAATCCACCGTTTCATCCTCCTCTCAGGCCAAAATGATAAAACTCTCCATTTTTTCTGACTGAGGCCCAAAGCTATTTGTTGAGCAGCAAAACGGTTCAGGACGAAGGAAAAAAAAAAAGATGCGAGCAGCAGGTCTGCGGGGAGAGGGGAGAGGGGGCTGCTTCAGAACCCATTCATTGGGTCAAACAATGTTTTAGTCAAACAGAACCAACAACAAGAAAGCAAAAAGTAAAGAAT